ATCTCATGATACTTTCAGTCAAAACATGTAATCTTAATGCAATTAAAAGCATTGCTCCTTTTACCCAGGTGAGCCAAAAATGTTCTCAGAGAACTTTTCATTTTCCAAGGTCCTGAGTTTTGCCTTCTTATAATATATATTGTCTTTGATTTGGTTTTACATGTGATAATAAAGGTCACTTTGAGAATTGTACTGTGTGAAGCAATAGTGATCTTATTTGCAGCCAAAGGCTACACTTCATCTGCCCGATCACCATCACCAGGTTGCCAAGAAGGGCAGGAATTATTTTTTTGTCTTGTTTTGTCTATTTAGGGGATTGTTTTTATATGTGCATTAAGCCTACTTGAAGCTTAACAAATTGTAATATCTTTAGTTTTCAGCCAAATACTGTAGTACGCAGGGCTTTCTTAACGCATGGGCCTGATGGGCACTTGTCCGTGGGCCCATGAGCATAGGGGCCCCATACTAATCTGTGTATGTTAACCCTTCAATGCACCTTGTATCATATAAATACAGCAACTGTATGGCTTACTGAGTATTATTGTGTTTTTCAAGCCTCGTTCAAATGTTAGACAATAAATATCAATAAAATAAATAAATAAAATAAAATAAATATATGTTTCATTTTATCGACCATTTACATTTTTATTCCTGCGAGTAGTTGTCACAGAGGCCCCAGTACACTACTTTGCCCGAGGCCCATAATGCTGTTAAGATGGCCCTGGTAGTACGGTATATGGAAAACAGGCTACAATATTCAGTGTTTTGCCATCAAAATTCAACAGCAGCTTGCAACCACCACAGAGAACCATCAAAAGATTTGGCACTATAGCTTACCCACTGCTACTATAAATTAACTAATAAATTTAATTAGTGTATTAAAGGTTTAAAAGACATTCTATAAAAGAAAAAGAAAGGCAGAAGAAGGAAAATTTTATAGGCAGCCATAGCTTTTTATAGCTAGGAACTCAGTTGAATTCAAAATAGCTGGTGAAATTTGGGCTGAATAGATACAACATGTTCTCTCAAGTTATCTTTAAAAACTCACAGTTGCATTCACACAACATGCTAATCTTCATTGGTTTTATTCTACTTTAGGTTTCCTTTTCTTTTTTCTTTTTGGCTGGCTGAGTGAGTTGTGAGAATCCTATTCTCTAGCGATGCATTGTCTATATCCAAAAATGGGATAATTGATAGCCGAGTATATTATTGGGTTGTTAGATTTCTATCCCACTATTGTCTCAGTAACTCAAAGTGACTTATATAGAGCTCCTGAGTTCCAATGCATCACCACAATAACCATTTGGGCTGAAAGAAAGGTTAGCCCAAAGTCACCAGATGAACTTCCAAGGCTGAAACTGGAATAGTAGCTTGGTCAACCCCAAATCCTAATCCAGTATCTTAAATCACAATGGTGCTTTATGAACTAAGTCCCAGCATCCCCAGAACTGGCCTCATCACTCAAGGTATTAAGACAATAGACCGAGTAAAGCCTCTTCTGCAAAGTCCATTATTACATATTTCTTTGCCCCATTATTTAAAAAATATCCTGCTTTGGCAGGCTGAACAGCACGGTGATTAATATGATCTAACCATGATATCAATTTCCCCCTCCAGTCTAACATCCATCATTCTGGGTCACTGGAAAAATATTAAAGGTGGTTAGAACCAGACATCTTTGAAAAATTGTTGCTCCACACCTCCAGAACAGAATAACCCTGCCATGAATCATTGATGGAAAACTGGACCTAGAAGACGGTATATTGATCATCTGCCAACCAATATAATACCTATTGTATATTAAATGTATGACAGCCAGTTTGAAATAGTGTTTAAGGCATCAGCCTTGAAACCAGGAAACCATTAGTTCCAGTTCTGCCTTAGACACAAAACTAGCTGGATGACCTTGGGCCAGTAACTTTCTCTCAGCCCTAGGAAGGAAGCAAAGTCAAACTACTTCTGAAAAACATTTCAAGAAAAAAAAACCCAACAACAACGCTGTACAGACTTGTCCAGGCAGTTCCTGAGAATTGGGCATGATTGAATCAAAGGGACGAAAATAGATGTATACGTAAGATCCTAACTAATTAAAAACCATTCTGGAGAATCTGTTCTACCTATGTCATACCCCATGGTTGTCTTTCTTCCTTATTGACAGAAATTACTTTTAGGAGCCATTCAGGTGCCCAGGGGAAATGGGATATGAGAGTGATCACTGGCTACACATAGCAATAGCAATAGCACTCATTTCATACTGCTGATTAGCAATAATAGATTAGATTACTATACTATACTTCATCAAGGATGAGTACCAGTGGAGCCTTGCAAAGGGGAATGAAAAATTCTCTCCTACCAGTTTGCTGGAGTAGTATTGAGAAATATTAAAAATAAACTTAAGAAGCACAAAAGCTCAGGGCCTGAGATATAGCAATATCAATAGCACATAGACTTATATACTGCTTCACAGTGCTTTACAGCCAGGGGTGAAATCCAGCAGGTTCTAGAGAACCGGTAGCAGAAATTTTAAGCAGTTCGGAGAACCGGCAAACACCACCTCTGGGTGGCCCCAGAGTGGGGTGGGAATGGAGATTTTGCAATATCCTTCCCCCAGGAGTGTGGAGGGAATGGGGATTTTGCAGTATCCTTCTCCTGGAGTGGGATGGGAATGGAGATTTTGCAGTATCCTTCCCCTACCATGCCCACCAAGCCACGCCCACCAAGCCACACCACACCCACCAAGCCACGCCCATAGAACCAGTAGTAAAAAATTTGGATTTCACCACTGTTTACAGCCCTCTCTAAGTTGGGTTTTACACACTCAGCATATTGCCCCCAACAGTCTGGGTCCTCATTTTAACCACCTCAGAAGGCTGAGTCAACCTTGAGCCTGGTGAGATTTGAACTGCCAAATGGCAGGCAGCTGGCAGGCAGCAGAAGTAGCCTGCAGTACTGCACTCTAACCACTGCACCACGGTGGCTAGTAATGATCCTTAATACGCGGTATTTAGGGAGTGCTGCCTTAGTTTCTAGAAACAATCATTAATGCCAAGTTTCTATTATTTTATCTAGGGAAATATAATTTCATAAATTTTCATTAATTTGTTTCTGTATTTAAACAATAAACTCACTAACTTGGTTGGTATAGAGCAGTGATGGCTAACCTTTTTGCCGTCGCGTGCCAAAAGCGGGGGTTGCGGGTGCGTGTGCCCACATCCATAATTCAATGCACCCGCCCTCCCGCGCATGTTCACATGACCTCCCCACACTTCCCACTGCTTTTGGCACACAATGGCATGGTAGGCCCGCTTTTCCCCATCCCCAGGCTCCAGAGGCTTTCTAGGAGCCTGGGTACAGCAAAAACAGCCTTCCCCATCCCCCCGGAGACCTTCCAGAGGCTGGAAACAGCCAGTTTTCCAACTTCCAGTGGGACCGGAAGGCCTGAAAATCAATTGGCTGGTGTGCACATGCGTGTTGGAGCTGAGCTAGGGCAACACTCGCGTGCCCACCAATATGGCTCCGCGTGCCACCTGTGGCACCCGTGCCATAGGTTAGCCATCACGGGTATAGAGCAATCAGCATGGTTCATTTAAGCAGTATGGATCTGGACCTTCTGTTATGTGGAAACATATTTTTCCCATTTTTTGAAAAATGTGTTTGCCATATATTTTCACCTGATCATGGACTTACTGTCTCGAATTTGTTTTATTGCCAATGCAGTCTTCTGTGCTTCCAGGTGTTCTATAGAATGAAAACACTTAGCTACTACAGCTAAAAGCATGACTGAATGTTCAACATTGTGATGTTACAGAACTCCTTAATATGATTTATGGCACTCAAATGATCCTATAGCCTGTGAAAAAAAAAAATACCAGGAGTTCAGCTGATGCTGATGTTGAGAAACTGTGAACAACTGAAATCATATAAGCTGTGTGACAATTGATTCATGCATGTGCAACCAGCTGAGCCTTTTGCAAGCAAGCAAGTGCCATAATAATTTAGCACATGGTGTAGCTGTCTAAAGTAAATAGTTGTGTATATAAGAAGTCACTTCAGATTCCAATAAACTTTCACCTGGCTACTGAACCACCTTCAATTGACTGGATCAACCCTAGAAACAAAAAGCAAATGTGAACTGAGGTGATGAGAAATGGGGTAAGGGAGGAATAAAGTGGATCATAAAAAGCCACCTGAACAATTTGTCTTCTATACATCGGTATTTTATGACAAGCCAGGCACACATAAAAGTGCTCACAACATGGGTTTAACATATCAAAGTCATATGGCAATTAGACTAATATTAATCAGGGCTTACATATCATTTTTTTTCCACATTCCTCAGTCAGTAAAACCATCACACATAATCTACCTACTTACAGGATGTTGGCTAATGCTTGCCAACTATTGATTGAAGAATGCCTTATGACCACAACTGAGCCCAAAATTTCCATTGCTAAGCAAGACAGTTGTTAAGTGGGTTTTGCCCCGTTTTACAACCTTTCCTGTCACCGTTCTTAAGTTAATTCTGCCGTTGTTAAGTTACTAAAGGTTATTAAGTGAATCTGGCTTCCCCATTGACTTTGCTTGTCAGAAAGTTGCAAAGGGGGAATTACATGACCCCAGGATACTGCATATATATGAGCCAGTTACCAAGTATCTGAATTTTGACCATGTGACCATAGGGATGCTGTAACAATCATAAGTGCAAAAAAAAGAAGAAGTCACAAATCACTTGTATCAGTGCTGTTGTAACTTTGAATGGTCACTAAATGAACTGTTGTAACTTGAGGACCACCTGTACATTCTTCCCAATAGGTCCATCTCATATGAGTTTTCTAGTAATTTTTAGTCTAGGTAGAAGCAGATCACACTTCTGAAGTTTTACTCTCTCTAGTATTTCTCCAAAATTGCTATCTTCCTTAAGCTGTGAAGAAGCCAAAATGGCAATAAGTGAACTGAGGACTTAGCACACCAGTAAGAACTAGGCTCATAAACAGAGGAAATTAAAGATGTATGTGGCTATATTCTTTTAATAATTGATTCACCAGTTTTACATTACTGTTTGGATCACTAAGTATCTTTATCTGTCTGGCCTGCGGTTATAACAATATTTCTTCTACTTCTTCTTTTACAGCACAATGAAACTGATATTGAATTTCTAATTAATGTTAGACATATAGTTCAACAACCTTTACAGCATTATATTTTATGGACTGTATTATATCATTGAAATAACTTATGGTAGCATTATAATTTTACTTGTATTGCTGTAGGTTTCTCTCATTTTATGCTGGTCTTTGACAGAAATAAAGATTGTTGTATCATATAATTTTGTTCTCAACTGTAATGATGTATCTATTTGTAAGATATACTCATTTATAGCTTTTTCATGCATCAGTGAAATAAATCAGAGTCCTAGTCATACGAGTTTATACTACCCAGGAGAAGTCCATATACTTTTCTCTATAGAAAAGAGCTAACTTTATGAGAATTCCTTAAAAGTCATACAATGATTCTATTTGACCTTACTCTTGTGCAAATGATTATATAATATGCTAAGCTGACAACAAAGAGGAGACAAAGCAATAGAGTTCTCATAATGTCTGATTCTGCCTTGACCTTATTCATGCATATCAACCACAAACTTGGAATCAGAAAATGAATTCAGACATAATAAAGCATGCAAATTGATTATAAGCACAAAAATTTTTAAAATCAGATAATTGACCATTTGCTTGCTTATCTCTTAAAGTTCCCAAAATGCTAAGGATAACTTGAACAGAATCATTGGCTGCTATACTGCAGTATATAGCAGGTGGGTATTTTGTTCACTACACAGCGTCATGTTCCAATCATATTTTCTCACAATTTCTATGCTCATATTGATTTTCCTGGCATTCCAGATGGATGGAGAGGACAGGATTCTGTGTTCCTTTGGCAGCATGGCCCAAGCAGCCTGGGAAAATAAAATCAAGAGATGAAGCTGGCAACAACAAACATTTCTCAAACAAACAGGAAAATTACTGAAAAGGCTCACAAGCCATATTACTGATGGAAATTGAGCATACGAGATACATGAACACATGCAGTCAATTAAAGGGTATCATGTCCTATCATTAGTTTCATGTTCTGCTTATATGAACCTGTATATTCAGTGTGTCATGGATGATCTGAAGTTCATAAATAACTTCTAAATGTTATAAGATACATAATAGGCAAAGCTGCATACCATGTGTCTCTAGGCCTTCTCTTTATTATAATATGGACTATAACAAAGCATGTGATGTGGTATGGTGTTTCATTTCCCCCAGCCTGTCAGCCATTCATCCATGGATGGAGCAGGAAAAAGCTTAAAGCAATGTCACATAAAGTCTGGGGACAAATGTTAGGCTCCCTCATAAATTCTGTTCCTGTGCAGTCTGGATTCTAAATCACAGGATGAACCTTCTTCATTGTAGAAAAGTCCTGTCTTCAGAACTCCACCTATAAATGGATGACAGGAAACAGTCAGGAAATACAACATGAGCAGTTCTACTCCTTCCATCACATGGTTAACATATAATGCTCATGTAGGAAGCCGTATCTCCTTTGTAATGTAGACAAATAAGTTCAAGGTAGGGAATAAATGGATTAGTTAGTAAATCATTTACAGCTGCAGTTTTAAATACTAAAGATGGATTTTCCTGGCTTGTTTTGCTTGACTAGGAGTGACTATTCTGAAGAACAAATTTATTGACAGGCGAGATCAGTTAACTATGGAAGAACTGATGGCAAGATAATCTGCCAAAACCTGCACAATTGTCAAAGCTTGAAGATGAAATAAGATGTGAAGCTGTTTTCAATTCAAGGATTAGCATATGAATTTGAGTACTCTTTTGGACTGGATTTCATTCCAACCCAAAAAAAGAACTTTCTCTTTTCTTCTGTCCCTTCCAGGATGCTACTATATTTCATCCTGTCCTCCTTCTCTGGCCGTGATACACAGAAAGACAAACCCACATCGTCTTATCTCAGAGGCTGTGGGTCTCCATGTGTGTCTTGCCCTAGCAACATTCCCTATGAGAGATAAAGGGGCAAGTCAGATTGCTCTTTCTATTGTTCCACTTTTTATGACTAAAAGTGAAGGCAGGAGCAGAAGAAGCTTCTTCTGCAGTGCTACTTGTATGATACTTGTCGCCTACAATAACCCAGGGGCACCTCATTTGATATCTGTTGACTGTCTGTCTTATCTCATTAAAAAAAGAATTATAATTTTAAAGCAAAGCACACAGATTCCAACATCATCTTTATTAAAGGAATAGATTTGGTCCTACATCTAACATTCTTCAAAAATAAAGGCCATTGCTTGGGTGTGAGACCACTTTTCCTGAAAGATAGACTAGCAGCCAGAAAGAAAGAAAAAAGCTGTGGTACAGAAAAACTGGAGTGTTAGATGGGGGCCTTATTTAGGAGGCAGCAGTCTTAGGCATTGCCTTTTACAAATCAGACACTCAGTGGTTTACTATCTCACCAATTCCAAAGTTCAATGCATCCCCAAAGGTTGTTCGGTTTCTCATCTACTACAGCAGCAACCTTGAGGAAAATATTAGCAGCTTCAACTATGAGATGTGGCAGAACAGAGCATACTGGACACTAATGACTCCCAGGGATTGCTGAAGAGCGATGGACAAAGTTCTGTGTTTATATAAATATACAGGGGAAAAAACCAGAAATATACAGAGGTATACAGGAAAAAAAACCCTGTTCTCCATTTTTCCTTGTAAATGTTGTGTCTCATCTGAAAAAACCATATGGAAGTTTTGCCTGTCTCCAATCTTCTGAAAATGTTTTGTGTGGTATGTGTGAAATCTGACTAAATCACTTCCCCACTGATGGCAAGTATCCACAATGAAACAGGCAATTAAGTGTAATCTGTACTTGCATGTATCCTTTTATGGATAATTAGTGAATCTGTAAGGTTTCCAGACCAATACTCTGTTTGCCAATTCCTCAGGGTCTGTATCATCCCAGATTTAGCTGTATTTTTTTTAAAGATTTCTTTAAATTTCAGAAAGATCAAACGGCTGCTGAATTAACCAAGATTAGGGAACTATTCTTTCAAGCTGTGCAATCAATAGCTTTTTGGAGACAAATTTATTCCATTAGACTGAAATACAGCAATGCTGTTTGGATGATGGGGAGTTTCTGATGTTTTAGCATGTGACTTCTTCAGATAGGAAATTAGTGGCATAGGGACATGTGGGAATACAGTTTAAGAAGAACTAAGATTCAAAATGTTGACATTACAGTCTGAAGCAGTGATGTGTTGCTCCCAGTTCTGTCCGGTTCTATAGAACCGGTAGTAAAACTGGCAGGAGGCTCCGCCCGCCTGGCACTACATCATCATTGGTGATCTGCGCAGAAGAGCGCATGCACAAGCGAAACAAGTGTGCATGTGCTATTTCACTGCAAACCGGTAATAAAGGTAAGTGGAATCCACTCCTGGTCCAAGGGTATTCTAAGGGTGTGTAAGCACATTGCAAGAGCATCCTAGTTGATGGGATGCAGCTAAAATATGAATATATATATAATAAAATATCAATAATATAATCTATAATATAAAAATACTTGGGAAAAAGCTGGGGTTTAGCTGTGATTGTGTGTGTTCACTCAAATGCTCCAAAACTGGCCAGTGCTGTTATTACTATTAGTAAGGAATAGTACATGTGGCACAGCTATGACTATACTGGAAACCTGTTACAATGGTCCAAAGCCTTGTTTGCTATTTGGAATAAGGAGGTAGCTGAGGCTGTGGATGTACCCATGTGACCTCTCTCCTCTCGGGGATCCCAGCATTGTCTGTGGTTTACAGAAGAGTTGAGAAAGCAAGAAAAGCTAAGAGCATCACTGATGCTCAACAAAGGACCAATTCAAGTGAATACAGGCTAGAGATGCTTTTTTTTTTTAAATTTGATTTATATGCCGCCCTTCTCCGAAGACTCAGGGCGGCTTACAATGCGTTAAGCGATAGCCTTTATACTTTTGTTTATTTATACAAAGTCAGCTTATTGCCCTCACAATCTGGGTCCTCATTTTACCTACCTTAGAAAGGATGGAAGGCTGAGTCAACCTTGAGTCTGGTGAGATTTGAACTTGCAGTAATTGCAGGCAGCTGATGTTAATAACAGTGCTTTAGTCTGCTGCGCTACCAGAGCTTTTAAGGCCTGCCTAGTGGCAATCAGTGTGGCAAAGCATCATTGTTCCTCCAGTCTTACTGCAATGGCATATAGTTTCAAGTGACATGACTTCCCACCCCACCCCACCAGAAAGGATGTCTTGGAGAAACTTTTCAGGGGTGTGTAGATGAATTTTCCAGCACTGTTGGATAAAATTACTCAGATTCATTCTCAGTAGGATGCTGTTGCGCATCCGGTAGAGATGCTAGGGAGGAGTTTTGCCCTGTTATCTGAGAATGATTTGGACCTGTTGAACCTGAGGAAGCAGACAGGGTCCTTAGGACTGTGACTCCTCCTGAAACTTCAACTGGTGGAAAATGCAGTACAGGCAGTTATGTGCGACCCTAGAGCAGTACACATTACACCTCTGCTTCAAAAGCTGCGTTGGTTGCCAGTCTGCTTCCAGGTCCAGTTCAAGGTGCTTATTTTGACCTTTAAAATCCTTCATGGCATTGGACTGGGTTATCTGAGGGATCTCCTCTCCCTAATTACATCTGTCTACCTCACCATGCTTTCTGGTAGAGAAAGCATGCTTCAGATCCCATCTGCCAGGAAATCACATCTGGCAGGTACCAGCAAGTGGGCATTCTTTGCCATGGCACTTACCTTGTGAAATATTCTCTCCCGGAAGTGAGATTAGCTCCATTCCCACGTGAAGAGCCATGGTGGCGCAGTGGTTAGAATGCAGTACTTTAGGCTAATTCTGCCAACTGCCAGCAGTTCAGTCCTGACCAGTTCAAGGTTGACTCAGCCTTCCATTCTTCTGAGGTTGGTAAAATGAGGACCTAGATTGTTGGGCGCCATATGCTGACTCTATAAACCATTTAGACAGGGCTGTAAAGCACTATGCAGCGATATATATGTCTAAGGGCTATTGCTATTGCTTTCCTCACAACATTCCATCTGTCTCTCAAGACCTGACTATGATATCAGGCCTGTGGTTCCCAGGGAACTGGAGAGATTTTGTGATGACTACCTTACTGTACAGTACAAAGAGGTATATTAAAGTAGTTTAACCAAATAGAGACAATGGAACCATAAAACAACTATCTGAAGGAAACTGGATCAAGAGGAAAGGTACAGCATGAAACAGGTTGATGAGGTTCAGAAAAAGAGGGGAGAGCTTCAAAAATGTATTTTTATCGGGCCCATTTCATGACAGTGAAATCAATTGAGTCAATTCCTTTATTTGCTTACACCTAATAGACAGAATCTTGCCAAATTAAAGCTATAACTTTCTAACCTACTAGACATATCCTGACAGATTATAAAGTGTAGCTACCCTAAGCTTCTTCCCTCCTTCCTCATCCAGCTCAGGACTACAATATGTAGTCTCTTGGCCAAATTCTCCTCCACTGCTGCTGCAGGTGCACATTCCATCATAACTTTGTACCATATGCATCGGTGTGTAGACATGCCCACCGGGAGGCAAGAGGGAGCACGAATGATAACGTGATAATGTGACATTGCTGCAGCACAAGCTCCACCCTCCTACATGAAGAAATAAGAGGTGCTCAGAAATGTTAGAGCAACATAGAAGGGTAAACACACTCTAAAGTAAAAGTCTACCTTGCCAAGATATATATGCATTAGGCCATTCTGTTAAAGGAGAAGAAGAAGAAAAACATTTACAGTTCATTTATCTCTGCCAGCTCTTCACTCCCTTCTGTGCTTCTTATCAGTAAAAGTAGCCAAGAGAATGTAAGAAACTTTGCTTGTGTAGTTATAGTTAACCTTCGTAAGAAATGTGCCTGAAACTTAAACAAAAGGTTTCCAGTTCATTTAATGGGGGTGGGGAGAAGTCTGAAATGGTGTTTTGCCCTGCATTTGCTAACAAATCCTATGAATTTACAAGAAAAGCCAATAACATCAATTTTTCAAGAGTGCACACTGAAGTAGATGCTGGTGTTTCTGTGATAGGGGAGGAGTTTACTGTTGTATAACCAGAGCAAGGCCTGGCCTCATATTGCAGCCAACAATGGTGTGTTCTGTGGGTCTGCATGTGGTGTAGAGTTATCAGACATCTAGTAAAAAGGAGAACATATCCTCCTTTTTCTCTTCTTGACCTCCATCTATCAGACATAGCCTTAAAATCAAATATTATCTGGCTTTTTTTTTTATTGTTTTGGGTTTGGAGGGGGGAGTTTTCACAACAGTATTGTAGTGATACAAATTTTTTGTATTGTGGCTTTGTAAATTTTTTGCTTTCCCCACCCCCACCCCTCTGTCTATTGACAAACTTTATAACCTAGATGTACATTATTTCAT